GGGCTTTGTTGCCGCCTCAGCAGCTGTGGCCGTTTGAGTTTCCATTAAGCCATTTCCGAGCCTTGGGCAGGAGCAGGAGGCTCGGCATTTAAAGGTCACCCGGCTTTTGAAGCTGCAGCGACATTAATAGCTCGGGAAGAAAACAAGCCTGTGCAGGGGCAGGAGGACAAGACGCCTCTGTCAGGGCTGCGCCCTGCTCCTCCCGCTGGAAGCTCACACGCGTACCCACAAACACACACACGCACGCACACACATGCACGCACACGCAGACCCTGAGAGCCTCCCTCTGTCTCCTGCCCCCTCTCCCCCTTCATTTCTCCCCCTTCTGGGGCCTCTCCAGCTCAGAAGCCAAGAAGCTGGGCAGACTTCCCCGCGCCCCGCCCCCACCACGTCTGAGGTGACAATTGGACAAGGATGCAGCTGCCCCGGCCCAGCAGCCTCTCCATTAACACTGCCATTACCCACTTGAGGTTTCCCCAGAACTTAGCCATGGTTACACAAGCGTCCCAGGGGTCATGTGACCTCATTCTGGCCCTGCCGGCTTTTGCAGCCTGGATTCCTGATGGGCCAAAGTTAGCCCGGGCCTACCCTTCTTGTACGGGAAGTGAAAGGGCTGGCAAGCAGGTTGTGTCTTGCTTGCCAGTTCTAATCACTTGGTAGTGGCCTGCCCAGAGCGCGTTGTTAAAAAAACAAAAAATGGTTCTGAGGACAACAATACTGGGATGGATTAGTGATGCCTGCCAGGGACGCAGGAAACAAACTGGTGGCATGTGTACCTCGTATTTCCCGCCTGGGAATACATTATCCTGACACTCTCGGTCTTGGATTCTAAGATCCCTGGGGTGGTTGGGTGGTTCCTTTCCCTTTGAGTCAGTCCAAGGGTGGGGGCGGGGCAGATTCTTGGGTTCTGAGAGAGGAGCCGCTCTGTTCGCCCTTTCTTAGGAGCAGCCGTGGCCCGAGCCCTGGGGCACCACCTAGTGGCCTGCTGTGGTGGCACTGGGCTGGGCCCAGATCTTGGACCACAGAGAGCCAGTCCCTCTCCAGGCTGTGATCAAAGCAATCACAGATGGGCCACCAGATCCTATCTGTCCCTTGTCCCTATCCCTGGCGGGTTTTCAGAGAGGGAGGCCAGGGGTGTGTAGGCACAGAGCTGGCCTGGGGCAGTCCCACCCGCCTTCAGAAGAGAAAGGGTTGGGCAGGGAAGTGCTGTCAGTGGGGACCTCTGGCCTTCCAGCCCCACCCCCTGTGACCCCCCACCTTTCAGAGGTGAGTCCTGGTCCTCATGGGGGGCAGTGGAATGTCCTTGAAGGGAGTCGACCTCCTGCCCCCTGGAGCCGATGCTGGGCTAGAAAAGGGACCAGCCTGACATCAGCCTGGCTGCCACCCTCAGGCTGGGCGACGAAGGCTCATGGCACCTTGACCGTGTCACTGGACTGCCTTGGCTTCCGTAGCTTGGTCTGTGAGGGGGGATGGACAGTCAGGCATGCCCCTATGAAATGGCTTGTTGTGAGGACTGAGAACATACAGGAGAAAGGGTTTTGGAAGTGAAAAGGCTCCACCCACCACAGCCATGAGCCCAAGGAGGAAGGGAAGGGAAGATGGTCCAGTTGTGCTCCTGAGTCTCTCCCTCCCTTCTTGTCCACCAAACAAATGCCCACTGTCAGGGCCAGGCACTCTTTTAGGCACTGGGGATGCCACAGTGAATAAAGCCATGACCTTGCCCTCACGGGGCTTACATTCAAGTGGGGAAGATGGTCAGTGACAATTAAATATGAAATCTCTTCGGGGATCTGTTTCATGAGGGTGAAGGGTTAGGGAACACTGGCAGATGGGGTAGGCAGTATTGCCTCGCTGACAAGGTGATGCTTGAGTGGGGGCCAGAAGGAAGGGAGGGACGCAGCCGTGTAGGTATCTGTGGGAAGGACATAGCAGATGGTGGGAAGAGAAAGTGCAGAGGCTCCTGGGTGGGAGATGCAAGGCTTGTTGGTGGCCAGAGTTAGTGAGGAGGAGGGAGGAAGTGAGGCTATGTGTGTGTGTGTGTGTGTGTGTGTGTGTGTGTGTGCATGGTTTGATGGCAAAGTTGGAGAGGTGATGCAGGCATGTGCATACCCATGGGCCACAATAAGGCCCATCCGAGAACATGAGGACCCATTGGGTTTGAGGCAAAGGAATGACATGAGGCAATGGGGGAGGTAGGGAGACAGACTAGGGATGGTAGCAGTGGAGGTGCTGAGGCGGGGGAGGGGGCGCAGATTCTGGAATCATTTTGAACACAGGGAAGACTGAATGTGCTGCAGTTGGTGTGGGTATAAGAGAATGTGAGCACTTAAGAATGACTCCCGAGTGTTTGGCCTGAGCCACATGGAGCTGCCATTAACAGAGATGGAGAAGGCGAGGAGCAGCAGGCTGCGGCTGGAAGAAACCACAAAGGCGGATGACCTGTTATGTTGGAGCTGCTATTGGACATCCAAATGGAGGCAGTAGGTGGGTGGGCAAGTGTGGAGTTGAAGGGTGTGTTCCAGGAGACCTCAGGGCGAGAGAATTTAGGGGCCAGGATCCAGCATGAAGATGGAATTTAAAGCCACGGGACGGGATAAGATCGCTCAGGGTGTGAGTGTAGTCCAGGAAAAGGGCTAAGGCCTGAGGCCGAGGCCACGCCAACCTGTCTCATTGGGTGCTTACTGTGCTCCAGGCACCCTTATAAGTCCTATCACAACACCCCTGCCAGGTGGGTATCATCCCTATTTTTGCCAGGGAGGAAGCTGAGGTTCAGAGAAGTGAAATAATTTCTCCACGTGACATAATGTTATTAGGCCCCATCAGGATGGGACCCGAGGACTCTGGCTCCTGGGCTCTCACATGCCCTTTGTGGACCCTCCCTGGCCTTTCGGGAGACCATCTGGGATGACTTGGGCAAGGTCAAGAGAACAACCCTGGGGCAGCTTGCCTCCCTCTCTGGGCCAGGAGGGAGTGACTCAGGCCTTGGCTGTCTACTCAGGCTTGGAGTGAAGGTTGGCCGCTTGCCACCCCCTGCCAGGCCTGGATTCTTTTACTGGGAAGTGAAAGGCCTGGCTCCCTGGGACCTGGGGGAGGACAGGTGTGTGATGTCTGCTTTCCGATCCCCAGGTCACTGACAACGATGAGTTCAGGAAGCCTTTGAGTCAGCCTTCAAGACGTCTAACGGGCTCAGCGGGTTTGGTTCACTTCCTTCTTCAGAAGCTGGGCAGGGCTAGCTGTTGCCCTGCCAGTGCCCAGCAGCTGGGGTTCAGAGGGGTAAAGTGGTTTCCCCAAGGTCACAGAGCCAGCTTTGGGGCACAGCCAACAGACACCCTTCCTCCCCTCCCTTCCCCACTGCTGTCTGGGTCACATTTCCTCTGCTGGAATGTCGGCCAGGCTGTGCCCGGTCTCTGGGCCTGGGGCACACATGGCTGCATTTCCGAGGCTCCTTGGCTCTTAGCCCTGCAGGCCTGACTTGGCAGTTTTGGTTCTTAGGTAGTAGGTTCCTAATTTTGACTTTGCCCGTGTTACCTAACTTCTCTGAACTGGTTTCCACCTATGAAAAGGAGAGATGATAACATCTATCTCTGGAGATAACACCTATCTCTGGAGTTGTAATCAAGATTAAATGTGAAGCCAGGCCGGCGTGGCTCAGTGATTGGGCGTCACAGTTCAGTTCCGGTCAGGGCATATGTCCAGGTTGTGGGCTCCATCCCCGTGTGGGGCGTGCAGGAGGCAGCCGGTCAATGATTCTCCCTCATCATTTATCCTTCTATCTCTCTCCCTCTCCTTTCCTCTTTGAAATCAATAAAAATATGTTTTTTTTAAAAGATTAAATGTGCAAGTGCCTGGCACAGCTCATAAACCTAAATCCTGCCTTAATTCTTTCATGTGTTTTAAATTGCTTTTCATTTGAGCCGTGCTGGTTGCAAAGGCAGCTTAGGACAGATCGATGACTGTGACCCTGAGGACCATCCTTCTCTCTGCTCCCAATCATGATAGCCACACCTCAGCCCTGGCCTCAGATTGCACTTGCGTTTAGTGAGAGGGGGCGGGGGATAGTCCTCTGAGAGATGGGGGCCTTAAGCCCGACCGGGTGCTAATTATAGGCAGCCTGGCTTGGGAGTCCTTGCAGAGTCCCGTGAAAATGGTATTTCTATACATCAGCTCCTCCCCCCCTGCATTTCCCAGGACCATTTCTGAGCCACTCGCTCCTCATGCGCAGGACCACCCTTTGATGGAGAAGTCTGGGCTTTGCCACTCCTGGCTCTGTGTCCTGAGGCAACTCCCTCCTCGTCTTGGGCCTCATCTCTTCATCTGTATTATAGAGCAGGGTGTGGGGCTGGCTTAGAGTTGTCAGCCTTTTATATGTCACGGCACACACACAAAATACTTTTTCAAGGCTTTGCACCTGGGTTAATGGAAGAGGCTTCTTGACCTGTCGTGTCTCCAGCTGTCCAGGCCAGCCAGACATCCCCTGGCGCTCTGAGGACCAGTATCTCCTTCTAGAGGGAATTCCGGGGGTTGACATCCAAATAGTGGGGAAGGATCCTTAGAATCCCCCGCCCCATCTACTCTGGGTGGCAGCGTGGCCAGTATAGTGACTGTTCCTGCTTCTTGCTTAGCCTTCTGGGGCAGTGGCAGCAGCAATCACAGAGCTAATCATGTTCCAGGCACTGGGCTGAGGATCACCTTGTTGAATTCTCATTGAAGCTCCTCTACTTTCTCAGTGTCTATGCCTCAGTCTTCCCGTCTCCAAAATGGGGACACTAGCACCTGCCTCAGTGGTGCCTTGAGTTTGGCCACACAGAACACAGGATGGTGCCTGGTACAGAGTAAGCCCTTGCCAACTAGTGTTAGTGAAGAGCTGTGGCTGTTTCATTATTGCAGCTGGAGAAAGCCGCAGGAGGCAGTTCCCCCGTGGGCGTGTCAGGGGTGTCCCTAATCCCCTTGGCCATCAGTTTGTTGCATTCTGCCCCTGACTCTGTCTTCCTCCTTTCCAGGTGGGACCGTCCGTGGAGCTGGCCCCAGGATGCTCTGGGGGTGTGGATGACCAGCCGTCGAGCCTCCCACGGCCCAGGCCCGGATGCCGCCGCCCCACGAAGACCACTCCCAGAGGGCCACCTAGTTTCCTGACCCGGGGACCCCGCCCGTCCGGTCCCCACCTGGTCGCCCAGCGGCCGGGCAAGGCGCGGGAGTAGCTTCCCGAGCCCGCCAAGCGCGCGAGACGGCGCAGGGATCTGGGGAAAAGGGCTTGGCGCCGCCGGGCAGCACCTTCGCCCAAAGGCTCGGCAAAATGACCAGCCTGTTCCGCCGGAGCAGCAGCGGCGGCGGCGGTGGTGGCGGTGGTGGTGGCAGCGGCGGGGGCGGCTCCGCCGGGGCGCGCGGGGCCGGGGGCAGCGCCACGCCCACCGCCCAGGAGCTCAACAACAGCCGGCCCGCCCGCCAGGTGCGCCGCCTGGAGTTCAACCAGGCCATGGACGACTTCAAGACCATGTTCCCCAACATGGATTACGACATCATCGAGTGCGTGCTGCGCGCCAACAGCGGCGCCGTGGACGCCACCATCGACCAGCTGCTGCAGATGAACCTGGAGGGGGGTGGCGGCGGCGTCTATGAAGACAGCTCGGACTCGGAGGACAGCATTCTGCCGGAGGTAGGGGCGCGGCCTGGTAATGCACCAGGAGCTCCAGCGCTGTTTGAGCCTTAGAGGACTTGGGTTCTACCCCTGCCTGGTTTCTAACTAGCGAGCAGCCTTCTTTTTCCTAGGGAAACGGTACCCAAGTCGGTCAGCGGCCTTATTGGATGGGCAGAAATCATGCAGTCATTCAACAAGCTCTGAGCACCTACTCAGTGGTATGCCAGGCATGGTACTAGACCCGGGGTCAGGGGTCATCAGAATCAAGGAGCTTGTTAAAAATGCAGACACCTGGGCCCCATCCAACACAGGGAATGTCAATCCAAGGCTGGAGCCCTCTAGTCTGTATTTTCCAAGAAATTCGATTCTTGAACGTCTGGGTATCCACCTTGATCAAGTCAAAGATTCTGCCCTCTCAGAGTTCAGGGCACAGTGGAACATGGGGACAAGAACCAGGCAAGGACAGCCCAGAGTGATGAGAGCTATGATGGGAGAAACGGAAGCAGGACGGGAGGGTATGGTTTCCTGGGGGAGGGGATGGCTAAGCTGAGACCCAAAAGAAGAGTGAAGAATGAGGGCAAAGGTGTGCAGGCAGAGGGAGCAGCTTGGGCAAAAGCTCGCAGGTGAAATAGAGCATGAGGCGCTGGGGGACTGACAGCCCGACCATCTGTCAGGATCCTCGAGTGAGTGGAGACCAGGAGGTTGAGGAGGCCTTACTTGGAGAGAGTGGGGCTGTGTCCCCAGAGCATAGGGAGCCATGGAAGAGGAGTGACATCAGACTTCGTCTGACTGAGGCATGATGGAGGCAGCAGTGGGCGACAGATACCCAAGCCCTTCTCTCCTCACTCTTCAAACTTTGGATGGGGAGATGCCACCAACCCACTTGCTGGGAGTGGCCAATCTCCTGGCCCCATCCAACAGTTCAGTATACCTTTGGCCTCAGTCGCCATAAGACCTGCAGCGCTGGGTGCAGAACGGGCACACAGTCTTTCAGAGAGAGGGTCACTGCCTGCAGGGGCATGTGGGACACGCAGCCAAAGACAGAAGGACCCAGCGGAGGGGACTTAACTCTGCTCTTCATTGAGTTGCAACCTGTGCCAGGCACATCCTCGTGCTTTAGATGTCTCCTCTCTTCTAGTCTTCACAAGCTTTGTGAGGTGGCGTTATTATTGCCCTCATTTACAGTGAGAAAACCTAGACCTAGATATGGCCTCAGATCCTACTCAACACAGCCCTGCAGGCAGCCGCTGTCCATCAATCAGAGTCATCCTGCAGGGCAAAGCCTCCCTTAATGGGTGCTGCCTGGGCTTCCTCTCTCCAGGCAGAGGACCAGCTCTGTGAGCAATGACATCTGGCTCATCCTGGTGTCTCCTCTCGCACCCGGGACAGCCCTGGCACAGAGCAGGCACTCAGGGAATATTGTTGAATGAATAAATGGTGCTGCCGTCTTTACCTAGTTTTCTTTAGTCTCTTTCCCCTGGAGACCACTCCGTTGACCTGCCTGGATTAGCAAGTGGAGGGAGTATTAGAAAATAGAGATCTTCTTTGTGAAAAAGAGGGGTGAATGCATGCATGACTGCGAGTGTGTATGTGTGTGTGTGTGTGTGTGTGTGCGCGCACATGTGTTTACAGATACATCCTTTAAGCGTGAGCTGGAAGGAAGGTTCTCTGTGAACTCTGACCCTGTAGTCTCATTTGTTCTGACGGTCTGGCAGGTGGGATGCTATTTCCTCCTTTGTTCACGGCACCCACAGCCCTGAGAACCTCTGCACGGCTTCAGCATCCCCTGCATAGGCCTGCACTGTGTGTGCTTCTGTTTTTCTAAGAATCTTGCTTTCCAGATTGAGCCCCTTCTCAGCACCCCCCTGGGCTGTTTCCCCAACCCCCCACGTGTGGAGCTCTGCTGGGGCCCACCGGCAGGCAGTTCCTGAGCCAGCGGAAAGTGCTTCGGAAAATTTATGAGCAGCAGCTGGAATGACAATAACTGCTGACTGGAAAAGGCCCCCTCTCTGAGGGCTGATGGATAGTGGGCTGGCCAGAGGGGTACCCTGGCCACAGAGAAACATCTTCTGTCAGATAAATGGCCAGACCCTGACCCTTAGAGCACCTGGCAGGCATCCATCACCCACACTGAATTAAGTCAGGAGACTGCAGAGCCGAAAATTTCAACACCTTTAGAGTCAGAAGAACAATCTCATTGTGGCTGGTGAGGCTGGGGGGAGAAAGGCCGGCGGCGGGGGTTGGGGGTGGGGGGTTGAGGGTGTAGGAACATGGCTGGGGTTACTCTCCCCGGAGACGGGGGATCAGCCTTTCCGGAGCGTGCCTGGCCGGCTGCCTGCCTCCTTGGCGTTTCCTTGTTCTGCTCCAGGAGCCTCTGATAAATGTCTGGTTCTCGCAGCCCCAGGAGGCCGCACTGAGGCGCAGGAGAGGCCGAGAAAGGAGGGGTCCTTCTGGTGCAGTTGTGGATGCCTGATCTCCCTGAATCTGGGGTCCAACTGCTACGCCAGTTATGGGAAACCCCAAGCAGCTTCCCTCTGGGAACGATTCCCACTGAGCTCTCCCTTCCTCACCCCTATCTCACTCACACCAGCCTCAGTGGGGACAGACCAGCCACCGAGGGAGGAGAGGTTAGCCTGGAACCCTGTCCCCAGAGCAGCGAGGTCTGGGGACCAGGGAATGTGGGCTGGGGGACAGCAGCAGCATGGACTCCGGATGTGCCTGGTAGTTGCTGAGCCACTGCCCTGTGCCAGGTACCGGGGGTCCGCCCATGAACGGGAATGGAGCTCACAGTGTTCTCTCTCTCTTCTTGTGGAAATTTGGGGTAGGCAGAGTAGCAGCCTGAAAAGCAGCTACATTCTCCTTTTCTGCAGAAGCATCTGTTTAAATACTTTCCGCCTCAAAGGAAAGAACGTCAGTGCATTCCAGGGCGGGAGGTCTCCTTGGGTCAGGCTGGCAGTGTATGCACAGAGCGTGTGCGTGTGCGTGTTTGTGTGTGTGTGCTCATGTGTGCGTGCTCACTCACCACCTGCCCATCTGCCAGGTGTCCCTGTGAGCCTCTGCAGCCCGGCCCAGCCCAGGCTTGCAGAGGCAGAGCAGAGTCAGTTTAGCAGTGACTTCTGCAAACTCACTTGAGGTTAAGATGTGGGGCCTGGGGACTCTGTGGCTGATTGACAGGCCCTGAGCCCTTCCCATGTTCTTTGGTCTCAGAGGAGTTGGGAACAGAGCTGGGGAGGAGAGGACAGGGAAGCAGGAGGCTAAGATATAGGCCGGTTGGGGTTGTGTGACCTGGGATCTCCTGGCTGAGAGCTGCCTCCTGCCCTAGACTCCTCTATGGGCCTTTGAGGAAGGGTCCAGGTCAGGCCATGTAGCTGGAACCCAGCTTTTGCTCACCCCTTGGCCTCTCCCTGCCCCTCTTTCTGGCTCTTGGATGAAGACAAGAGTCTAAGAGGGAGAGGCACCCCCTCGGCACACCCCCTGCCGCTGAGCACCCTGGGGATCCACCCCGGGAATGCAGGCGTTGTGACGGAAGGAGGGACCTTTGCTGAGGGGACCATGTTCTAAAAACACTTGAGTGGCTTTTGCCATGTCACTTAGTCAGCCTGGGTCTCAGTTCCTCATCTATAAAATGGGGTAGCAATCCATATCTATCTTGCCAAGTTGTTTGAGGCTAAGGCGAAATAATCCACGTGGAAGTACTTTGAGAGAGGGTGTGGCTGATGTTAAAGTTAGTTATCAGCAATAACACATGTATAGAAGAGTCCAGGAATCGTAAGTGACGTTTCACCAGCAGCCAGATCAAGACACATCAAAGGAACCCGGAAGCCCCCTCGCGCCCCTTTCTGGCCTTCCCCACCCTCACGGAGGTCACACTGCTCTGACTTCTCTCACGGCGATTTGCTTTGCTTGTTTCTGAACCGTACTTGGGCGGATAATGCTGCTCTGAACATTCTTTTGGGGACTTGTGCTTTCTTGTCTGTTGAGGAAGTTGGAATTGTAGGGTCAGGGGCAGCCATGCGTTTAGCTTCAGTACATAAAGCCAGACTGGTTTTTGCAAAGTGCTGGTTGTAATAATTTACATATCCACCAGCAACGCAGAGTTCTCTTACTACACATCCTCGCCCACACCTGATTACGTGTAAATGTTATTCAAGTTCAAGGAAGAGCTGCTAATATTTCTTTCTTTATTCTCTCTGATACAGATCTTGGAAAGGACTTTGGAACCTGATAGCTCCGATGAAGAGCCCCCACCAGTGTACTCCCCACCAGCCTACCACATGCACATGTTCGACAGGCCTTACCCTCTGGCTCCACCCACTCCACCTCCCCGGTGAGAATGCAGCTCCTGTCCCAGCACAGGGCAGTGGGGAAGGGACCCGGGGTTGGGACGGAGTACAAACACAGTGGGAATCTTGGCTAGTCCCCTCAGCAAGAACAGGCTTCTTTGCAGCAAGATACATTTTCACTAGATACCAAGAAGAACTTTCAAGAGCAAACATTCACTGAGTTCCTACTCTAGGCTAGTGCTATGCTGAACACCAGACGGGACAGAGTCAGGGCTCAGCCTCTGCTTTCTGAGAGCCGATAGTTGATGGAGATGCAGAGCGGGAATGACAAACTCATGGAATGTGTACTGACACTTCCCCTCTCCAGCCTGTGGCAAAGGTTACTGATTGATCACTGTGCTGGTTCCTGCTCAGTTGAGACAGAACCTCAGAATCCTCCTCACCATAGTACTCCCAGACGGCCACCAGTAGTTGATGGGATGATATGTGTTTGCCATGCCTGGTCTAGGGATGTTGTGGGGGATTTTAAAAGTAATGGGAGCAAGTAAGTCTCTTTTTCTAGGATAGTTCAATAACTGGAGGCGGGGTGTGTGTGTGGGGCGGGGGGTAGACTGCTAGGTCCTTGGAGACTTCTTCCAGGTGAGGGACTCTGTAATTTGGAAATTTAACATGAAACTGGTTGTCAGCTGGGTCCCCTGGGTCGCTGAGGTGCTAGTTTTCCTGGGCTTCATGTTTGGGGTGGGACTTGCTGGAGCCTAGGTGTCTCTTTGCCCGAAAGCTGCTGTTCCTGAGATCAGATTTGAGAATGACTCAGGCCTGGAGTGGTAAGGGGTGGCGGAAATGATGGGACAGGGGACTTGTCCTAGTGGATCTTCTCTTCTGGGGATCTTGGGAGCCTCCGACGGTGGCAGTGGAGAACTCTGTTATCATACAGGTATAGACGATAATAACAGCTACCATGTATTTACGAAGCACTGGCAAGCCATCACATTCAGGTCCTCTAACAACTTCCGAGGTGGGCACAGCCGTCATTCCCATTTTACAGATGAAGAGACTGAGCCTAAGAGAGGTTTCATAATCCCCCCAGACTACAGAGCTGGGATTTGAACCCAGGTCATTTTGACTCCAGAACCAATGCTCTTAATTGCTGTGTCCAGTTGCCTCCCTGATGAGAAAATTCTCTGTGATTGAATCTTGGGGAGCTGAGAGAGGCCTCGCAGATTATGCGGGGAAGGAGGAGAGCAATGTTTTGAGGCAGGGACAGGAGCAAAGCGGGGCTCCTTTTATCACAAGTGGGACTAGGAGACTGGAATGGGATGGGAGGCAGGGAGTAAGTAGGTGGATTGGGGTGAGACCTTGGCAGGACTTGCAGCCTGGATTGGGGCTAAATGATTTCCCTTTGACTTTTAAAAAATTTTAACCCAAGATGTTTTTGCAAATGGTCTAGTTTCTATTAGGCAGAGTGGTTCTGCCCATTTTTCAGAAGGGAAAACAGGCCGTAAGAGACAGGATCCCCGTGTAAACCTGGTGTGGGTATCCTGGCCACGTCCTCCCTCCCCTGCTCTGGCTGGGTGTTCAGCCGCAGTGGGTGGGGTAGGGCTGGAAGCAGGGGTGGTGCAGTCCAGTGGCGGGAGCCCCAATTGGGGGCAAGGTGACCTTAGCACTAGACCAAAGCTTAGGAGGCCTCGTTCAGACCCTGTGGCTTTGAAAAGTCTCTGACCCAGAACTGAAGGCTTTGCTAGGCTGGGGGTGGATACAGAGAAGAGAACTTGAGTTGTAGAATCAGCTAGAGCAGAATGCTCTCTCTCCCCCCTTCCTTCAGCTGCCTGACTTCTGATCTTTTAGGTGCCTTTGCTCTGTGGCCCTTGGCTCACTACTTAATGTCTCTGAGCTTCGTTGGCCTCATCTGTGAAATGGGAATGCTGATCCCCGCCTCAGAGCTGTTGGAAGGATTGAGTGAGAGCTGTGGGTGGAGCACTCAGCAGAGTGCCAGGCCCGGTCAGATCTACTGCCATCGTGGCTCACTGCTCCGCCCACCCCCGCTGCACGGCGGGCCTCTGAGCTTTAACACTGAACCCTGAGACCAGTGGCGAGGCTTCCCTCAGAGGCCAGTGTTCAGAAGGGGCAGTGCCAGCCTCCCAGCATGTGCACCTTTGCTCCAGGATGGCCCTGCTAAGCCCAGGTCTCTCCACCCAGCATTTAGCGAGCCGCCCGCAGTATGGAGGTGCTGAACCATGTGTGTGATGCAGCGATGAACACCGCACTGCCTCGACACCTCCCCCTGCCCCCTGCAAGGAGATCAGAGTCTGGGGGAGGCATAGACCTGGGGCAGGGGGGCAGGGCTGCCTGGAGGAGCTGATGTCCAAGCTGCAACCTGGTGAAGCGGAGGACAGGAGGGCATCCGGGCAAAGGAAACAGCATGCGCCAAGGCCTGGAGGCAGGGATGCAGGAATCATCCGGGGAACTGCAGGGTGTACGAAACGGCTGGGTGACGCTGGAGAGGCAAGCAGGTCATGGCTGCGCTTTATCCTGCAGCCGGGGTGTTTAAGCTGGAGAGTGCCGTGATGCGGTTAGTGCTTTAGAATCCCCCTCTGGCTGCTGGTGGAGATCAGATTTGGGTAGGAAGTTGGGGGAGGAATGGCCTAGGGTGCCTGTGAGACTGCAGATGGGGAGGGGTTAGGGAGCTTGTCCTGCTGGGGCACAGACAGGCAGGGTGACCCCAGGGGAGTGTGCCTGGCATGCCGGGATCCTGGGTCCAGGTTCTGCCTGAAGGAGCTGGGTGCCCTAGGAGAGGGCCTGACCCAACTGGGCCTCAGTGTGCATGCTTTACCAAAAATCCTGCCTGGAAGGTTTGGCTCTGAAATCTTTCTGGGGTCTGTTCCCTGGGTAAACCGGGAGGTCTGATTGGGAGTGGAGCTCTAATGTTGGGGTCCAAGGGCAGGCTCAGGGCAGGGGAGCCTCCCCAGCCTTCTCTCTCCTTTCCCTCCCCCAGCCTGCCCTTCCCTGTCTTCTGAATAAAAGACAGGCCCTGAAACCAGAGGACCCCTCTGCACAGGCCACCTGCTGTTTTCCCCTTGAAAGTACAGCCCCTTGGAAGTTTTTTATTTGCCTCCCGGCTCATTTCTGACATTCCTTTCCGACCACAGTGGAGTTGCCTGGGCTGCCTGGGCTCAGGGCCCCCCTGTCTCTCACAGCTACGGGCTGACCTCATCTCCGCGGGTGCCAGGGCCAGGAGGGGGCGGGGCCTGCCCCTCCTCCAGGACCTGGGGCCCAGCAGCCAGGGATTCAGCTGAGGACAGGACTCCCGCTCCTCGTCCCCCTCCCCTCTGGGCTTTCCAGTGAAATGTCTAGAGGAGTCCAGTGGGACTCCAGGGCTCGCCCTCCGCAGCTCTCCTGGGTGGCTCGAGGTGTGGTTGCGTTGGGGTGGGCACCCATGTCCCAGATAAAGACCCTGAAGCCCAAGGAAGGGTGCTGACCCTGGAGAGGATTTCTCTGCTGGGATTCATCAACGCTGGTCTTCAAGGCCCCCCAAGCAATGGGGTGCCCGCTCCCTTGCTTCTCAGGCCCTTAGAAAAAATGAAGCCTCCGACAGTGACAGAAGGCAGAGTGATGTAGACACAAAGCTGCCTAGGAATCGGCCAAGCTCTTCTGCAGACCGTCCCCTCCTCTGTGCAGCCAGATGAGGGGGTGAGGAGGCAGGCTGGGGTTCCCTTGGCTCCAGTCTGCCTGTGCCGCTCCCACCGCGCACTTAGCAGCTTGTTATCCCGTCTGCTGCCGCCCCTGCCCCTCCTCCTGGCCCCCGCCAGGCCACCCGCCCAAAATAGAAAAGGAAAGGAAGTTATTTCCACAGGCAGCGGCAGCCCGGCCCGGAAAAGCTCCCCTCCAGTGAGGGGGCCGCGGGATTCCTGGAGCTGGAGACCAAATCAAAGCCAGGCCCTGGAGCCAAAGTGGCCCCCACCGCCCCCGGCTGCCTCCTGCGTGTGTCACTCCCGGATTCAGCAGAACACGTGTCCTGCAGTTGCCACGCTGCAGGCCACCGAGGAGCTGTGGGGAGCTCCTGGCGGGGCCCCAGGCTGCCCTCAGGCCCAGGGCGGCAGGGCGGGAGCCCGGGGATGGGGAGGGCAAGGCTACTGCCTTTCTTCCTCTCCTTCCCTCCTGGCTGTGGCCTCCGCGTGGCACAGACCTCCTGCCAGGCTGCCAGGCACCTGGCCTCTGAGGAGCAGCCCCGAGCGCCCCCTGGAATAAGAACCTCCTGCTCGGTGTGCCTTTCCGAGCGCTGTTCAAGAGCCTGGAGCGGGGCTGTACCCTGTGGGCAGGGAGGCAGCAGTTTCTAGATGAGAGAGACTCTCAGAGGGGAGCGAGTCTCGCCCAAGACCACCCTGCTGGCTTGTGGCTGTGCCAGAACTGGAGCCGGGATTTGCTCTACTCTCTAGGGGTCCTGGTGTCCTCATGGCCCTCCCCCCCCCCCCCAACCCCTGCGTAATGACATGCATAAAGGCCTGGGGCGGGCTGGGCTGTTGGTTCATTTGGAGCACACCTGTTACTCAGCAGCCATGAGCTCACACGGTGCCGGGTGCGAGGGATAGAAGCATAAAAGGACACGATCCCTGCTGCTTTAGAGGATGTTTATAAACATCTGCGCCTACATCCACACCATCCAGCACAAGCGCCACAAATAGAGAGCTCTAGAGCTGCGGTTCTCAACCTGTGGGTCGCGACCCCTTTGGGGGTCGAATGCCTAAGACCATCGGAAAACACATATATAATTACATATTGTTTTTGTGATTAATCACTGTGCTTTAATTATGTTCAATTTGTAACAATGAAAATACATCCTGCATATCAGATATTTACATTACGATTCATAACAGTAGCAACATTACAGTTATGAAGTAGCCACGAAAATAATTTTATGGTCGGGGGTCACCACAACATGAGGAACGGTATTAAAGGGTCGCGGCATCAGGAAGGTTGAGAACCACTGCTCTAGAGGCTTAGAGGCCTCGAGGGCACTGTGGTGCACAGCTGTGAGTGGAAGCAGCGGAGGCCACGGGAGGGAGGAGTGCCATTCTGAGCAGGATCCTGGTGTGAGGGACGGACCAGGACACCCGTGTTGGGGCCTGACTGTTCCCTCCTCATTGTCACCTCTCGCCCTCCAGCATCGACGTGCTGGACTCCGCACCCCCTTCCAGCCAGAGGCGCTATCGGAACTGGAACCCGCCACTGCTGGGCAACCTCCCTGACGACTTTCTCCGCATCCTGCCCCAGCAGCTGGAGAGCATGCAGGTACGGAGGGAGGCCCCGCCTGCCGCACAGCCTCTCCGCTTGCCCACAGTTTGGGTCACCCCGTTTCACTTTCTGATATTTAAGCCCGGGCGGAGCTGTTTCTGTTGCCCTGGGTTTGCAGGGAAAGAATGCTGAAGCGAAAGCCTCGTTTCCTGTCTGGGCCGGGAGGCTTCCTGTTCCACCCAGGAAGGTGACAGCCCTGAGGACACTCTGGCCTGAGGGAGGTGGGCCTGGGGCTAGCCAATGGCAGGGAGCCAGAGCAGCTTCCTTCCCTCTCCCCAGAGGTGGGCATGTCCCAAGGGCGTTTGCAGAGGGGGTGGCACCCTGAGACCGCTGGTGCAGCGAGAGTTTTGAGTTTGGGGATCGTGTGTCGGCTATTGAGCAGTTTGCAGATCACTTTTCAGGACTATTCAGGGTATAGAGAAAGGCATGGGGTGGTCCAGGAGAGGAAAAGTCATTGTTGAGCCCTTACTGCTTCCTTAGCAGAGAGGACTGTGGCCCGAGCAGTTGGCTCTGGGCCTGTGACTGGGTCCTGAAAGGAGGTGCAGGTCCCAGGGTGCGGCTGGAAGATTCTGGGACAGGACAGGTGTTCACCCAGATGTGCACGGATGTTTATGCTCGGGTGCCCTCGTGACTAGGCATTCAAATGCTCGCTCCCCTCCTCAGGGCAACCCCAGGGGCTCCAAGCCCATGAACAGAGAGGGAGGCCTGCCCCCCGCGGCCGGGCCCGGGCCCCGGGACCAGGAGAGCCGCTGGAAGCAGTACCTGGAGGACGAGAGGATCGCGCTCTTCCTGCAGAACGAGGAGTTCATGAAGGAGCTGCAGCGCAACAGAGACTTCCTCCTGGCCCTGGAGAGAGGTGGGGCACCGGGTGGGGCGCTGTGCCCCTTCTCCGTGGTGGAAGAAGTGGCTGATCTTGGCTGTAGCCTTGGGGCTCAGGCGAGACAGGAGGCTGGAGGCCAAGGGCTGGGACATGGCCCACACCACATGATCCCTGGGGGAGCCCCAGAATCCTGCCAAACGGGGACCAGCATCACCAGCTACTCCTCCTCCCACCCCCATATTCAGAGGAAGAGAGGTGTGCCCTCTTAGGCCCTCTTCTTCCCCCGACACATCTGCTCTGTGCCAGGCACTGGCCTTGGCATGATGTGTCTGGAGCTCCAGGAACAGTGACTGGTCCGTGGGTGCCAGAGTTGGAGCCTCCCTGAGTGGAGGATGTTGGAGCAGGGGCTCTGGAGTTTTGGGGATGTTTGGGTTGCCTTTGGCCCAGGGACTCAGCTTTCCAGCCTGGCTGCCTTTTCCCTTCAGGGAGAGAGTGTGCTGGGGTGGAGTGCAGAGAGAGGGCTGTGCCAGGTCTGTCTTACAGGTCACAGTGGCAAGTGGGGTGTGTGTGACTGACAGCATGTCATAGGGGAGGAACAAGGTGTGGAGGGAGAAGGGTAGGCTAGACAGAGGCCCAAGGCCGGCCCCAGTTCTGTAGCAAAAGTGCTGGGGGTCTTTGAGCATTTCCTTTTAAACAAAGGGGTTAGACGATATGATCTTCAGAGTCCTCCTGGTTCTGACACTCTACTATTCCAGTGCTTGTCAGGGCAGTAGTTTCTGTGATATCACTGGTTCCTTGACAGCCGGCAGACGTGTGTGCACATCTTTTGTGTGTGCTTGTGTGCGAGTCTAGGGGTTTGGCCTCCAACCACTGCCTTGGTCTCAGCCCAGGCGTTCACTTCCCTGACCTGAATGTGGTCCTTTTCCAGATCGATTGAAATACGAGTCCCAGAAATCCAAGTCCAGCAGCGTGGCTGTGGGAAATGACCTTGGCTTCCCCTCTCCTGCCCCAGGTAACCTTGCCTTCCTGGGAGAGAAGCCCCCAGCTGTGCTTTGCATATTTGGAGTTGGGGGTAGGGTGACAAGATGGGCTGGCGGGAGGGTGTTGTCCCCCCACTGCACTCACTGTAGAGTGAGGTGGCCCCTCTAGTTAGCAGCCCTGAATTCTTATAATCCAGCAGCTGCTGGAGCCCACAGCCGGGATTGGCTAACATGCTGGCTGAACTCCTCAGAGGTGTCTGGAACATGGGCAAGAATGGGACACACCACAACACATAACATCCATGTGGGGAGGAGGGACAGAAGGACTCAAGAGAGTTCCAAGCCCTGGTCTCTGCCCCAGGGGGAGCTTATGGAGATATATCTAAGAAATGGGTAGAGCTACCAGCAAAGCTAAGGACACTCTGTTGATTATAGCAAATGCATCGGGAGGAGAAGGGCAAGACCAGTCTGGGAAGGGGTCGCTCACTCATTCACTCATTCATTCATTCATCTGGTAGTTGGGGAATATCTATCATGGGCTCGACCCTGCCGTTATATTAGGGGAAGGGAATTTTGAGCTTCATGTGTAAGATGGTGAGAAGCAAGAATTGCCTCAAGAGTGCGCCAGATGCCTCCAGGAGCCCTAAGTGGCTGAAGGAGGGCGGGGGGCGGACAGCAGCCTGTTGAGATGCACAAACGAGGTCAGGCTGGGAACATGGGGCAAAGAGACCCAGAGACCCCTGTTCCACACTCAACACCTGGACTTTGCCTATATATGTGCGTAGTGGCCCTTTGCCAACCAGAGCCCTCCACACACACACAGGCTGCCCTCCTCAGAGACAGAATCCACAGACCTTACAGTGGTTCTCAACCTTCCTAATCCACGACCCTTTAATACAGTTCCTCATGTTGTGGTGACCCCCAATTTCATTGTCACAAATTGAACATAATTAAAGCATAGTGATTAATCACAAAAACAATATGTAATTATATATGTGTTTTCCAATGGTCTTAGGCGACCCCTGTGAAAGGGTCATTCGACCCCCAAAGGGGTCGAGATCCACAGGTTGGATCGAGTGGTGCGGTGGAGTGGGGGCGGGGACCAGGGGGTGGGGAGCTCAGCCAATACTGGCTCGCAGGATAAAATCCTGTGGAACTGATTCATAAGCAACAGGCTGGAGCTCAGGCCCCACCAGATGTGCATCTGAGGGTTTTAACAGCAGCCTCTGTCCTTGATCCTGAATTAACTATAGACACCAGGGCCGCTGAGATGGATCAGAACGACTCACAGGGGACTTAGTGAACAATGTGACTCGGATTAGCCTAGCCGAGTGGCAGGGTGGAGGGCAGGGGCCTTCACTCTTCTCTCTAGCTGGCCCTCAGAGGTGCCTCCCCCTTCCAGGAACCAATGACGCCAACCCCGCCGTGTCTGAAGATGCCTTATTCAGGGACAAGTTGAAACACATGGGCAAATGTGAGTCCAGCCCATGTCCCCTTCTCCGATCTTCTCACACAGGCCCTGTGGCCTCGTGGGTGGGAGGGAGCCACCCGGAATTTTTAATGCAGCCGACTCTTGGTGAACCCAAGCGACATTTTAATCGCAGGCTGGCTCCCTCAGCCTTCTTGCCTCATTTCCCTCTGCAGCTGAGTCTGGATACAAATTAAGTTTTAAATCCTCTTGAGCTGTCTGCAGAAAAATCATGTGCTGCACCCGCCCTCCCTCCTCTTCCCCCCAAGTTTTACTATTCTCTGTGGCTTGAGGGAGCTTAGCTGGGCCTGAGTGGGGCGGTCTTTGCTAAGCCCACTTTCTGCAGGCGAGAGGCCTGCGGGTCCGTGACCTCTTCCCACAAAGTCCCGCCAGCCAGGGCTCGCCTTCCCCTGCCCCGCCCCTCCCACCGCTCCACAGACACACACCCATGTGTGAGTGAGGCTGCCATCCTTCCAGGCTCCATTTCAAGGAAAATCTGGGATTAGTCACGGAAATCCCAGAACCAACTCTGGAGGTGGCGAGGGGAGGGGGGTGGCGGCGGGAAAGAAAGCCAAGAGGCATTGCCGCTTGTCAAGCTGAGAAGGAATACCTAGATCTGGGGCTGCCAGCTGTCCCTGGTCCAGCTCCCCGTAGCCTGTGCTGCCCCTGCAGGCCAACTCAGGACGGCAGCCTCACTCCCCGGGGGCACCAGCCTAGCGTCACCTCCCCAGCTCCCTGGGCTCCTGGGCCAGTCTGCGCATCCGCCCCCCAGCCCTGGTGGGCAGCTCCCTGGTGCTCCCGCTGCTGGCTCACAGGTCTCTCTGCCCGCAGCCACCCGGAGGAAGCTGTTTGAACTGGCCAGGGCCTTCTCGGAGAAGACCAAGATGAGGAAGTCAAAGAGGAAACACTTGTTGAAGCATCAGTCATATCCTTTCTGGCCTGGCCCTGGGGGGGAGTGGTGGGTCCTAAGGGCACCGGGACCCTGGGCTGGGCTCCCCCAGGCTGCACATTCCCTCAGCCCTGGGCCCGGGCTCTGTGGCCCTCCCCTCTCCCTGAGCCCTGCTGCCAGCCTGCTGCCCCTTCTCTCTGTGCCCATCGCCACCACCATGACCAGGCCTGGGGAGAGGGCCAGCATCCACCGCCCCCCTCCTCCTGGAGGCTTAGAATTGTCCTACAGCTTTTGTGCTTTTTGCCTGGAGTAAACGACATCTTGGGAGAAAACATGGTGCTTCCGCTGAAATCAGCAAACCTTTCCCTAGTTTCTCCAGTTGCACTGATCCCCAGATCTCTCTGCCTCATCCCAAGCAGGTTGGCCCTGCCTTCTCACTTTCACTTCCTCGAGTAAAGATAAGGATTTCCCCATTTTTACCCAGGCTCCCATCCATGATTGTCAAATAGGGCCCCGGATATTAGAAGCTGAACAGCCAAAGGGGAACAGGGAGCGAATCGCTTCCCTGTTACCAGAGGGGAGGTAGGGGAGGGTCAGGGCCTGGCTGCCCAGCTGAAAGGAATGGAGTCTGGGGGAGACCTTGGGGGGGGTGTTGGGGGATAAGGCTGGTGTGGTGGAAGCTTCCTGAGCTTGGAGCGGGCGGTGGAGGACTAAGGGCAGGGAGTTGGAGTCCTATGGCAGTGCCCACCCATCCCTGGGACAGTTTTCCTGAATGGCCGGGCAGGCTGGGGGCTGCTGCGTCAACAGCCAATCTCCTGGACGACGTGGAGGGCCACACCTGTGGTAGGCACGGAGGGTGGGGTGGCTTGATCTCGAAGTTGCCTGTGGTCAGTGGCCCTCCAAGAAGAGGGCCTGGGTGTTTCATGGGTGACACACCAAGGATTTTGGGGGGCAGGTGACCCAAAGAAATGGGTCCTCCCACTTGGACCATGTTGCCTCTCCCTTCCTCCCACCCCTGAAAGGGAGCCCCGGCCACACCTCCACCTAGATCTCCACCTGGAGCACAGAGAGCCAGGTGCTGTTGCTAGGCAGTAGTCTCTGCAGTGTCGGGGGCAGACAGGCGTCATCTTGAGAACCAAGCTCCGGGCAGGTTCGGTCTCTGGGCCCAAGGCCTTTAGCATTCATCCAGTCCCTCCCAGAGGCCACACGGACAGAAGACACTGCCTCGGAGCCCACTATGCCTCTGAGAGAGGGACCTTCGGTGGTCAGGAGACATCCAGAAACGAGGGCTTGAGGGGCCTTGGAGGTCACTGGATAGTCCCATTTCATAGATGAGGAAGCTGAGGGAAAATCTTGTCCAAGGTCGTGGAGCTCAGGGCTGGAGCCAGGCTGGCAGACCGGTGTCCTCATCTGCCCTGTGCCCTGCTGCCTTCTCACCAGACCCACACATCCCCCTCCCCCAGGGGTCAGCATGTGCCCCTGCTCAGCCTGGGGACATGCCTGGCTGAGCCAGGACCCGAGGGTGGAGGATGAGGCAGCTTCCCCCTGCTTTTCAGATGAAGACTTCCGGGGCAGGCGGCAGGAGGTGCCCAAGGTGGAGGAAGCCCTAAGGGAAGGACAGTAAGAGGTAAGGCCTGGAGCCACAGCTGCCCAGGGCTGCCCGCCCCACACCCTGGATGCCTTTGCAGGAGTCCAGAGGCACCAGGAAACTGGACAGGGCAGGCCCTGAGTTTCTTCCCTCCTCATTGTGGCAGGGGACACGAGCTTCTGTTGGACACTAGTCTTTTGCATTTCTTTTACTTACTTATTTATTTCATGAAGGATAAGCATACCTGCCAATTCCAGATGCTGGAAACGGGGAAAAAATCAGCGTTACTCTCCAATAGTTTACAGCCTCGTTGAGAAAACAGTCCAGGACACACACAGCACACTGAGAGGACAATGTAGAAAAGACAGGGATGGCCCACCCTGGCCGTGCACACACACAACTCTCCCATGGCTGCTGGGGTGGGTGGGGTAGCATTTGCCGCAAGCAGATGAGGAAACAGCCCCTCTCAGGTCAGCTCTGATTCTGGCTGGAGCCCTGGCCGCAGGCTGCTTTTCTTCCTCTCCTCCTGTGCATCCCTGGGGGAGAAAGCAGGGAATGTCACTTCCTCCAGGACTCAGGAGCACCTGTCCCTCTTCCAGCCCCTTCCCCCAGCTGCTGTCCTGTCCCCGTTTCTTGAGCTGACGGTGTGGCAGGTATGGCTGTTTCAGGCTTCGCAGGAATACGTGCTACCCTCAGGATAGTTGTGGAGGCGACGAGGCAAACCAGCGCGCAGAGGACACAGCCAGGAAGTTACCAGTGCCCTGTCCCTGCAGCCTGGGCGTCTGGCCTCCACATCACCTCTAGTGACTCCCCACCACATCCTCCACCAGGCACTTCCCTCAGGCTTTCCTCACGTTGCTGCACCCACACTTCTCACTTCTCCAGAAGGCTCCCATAAAGCCACTGGAAAGGCCCCCACTCCCACTCGGTGCTGCTGTCTCCTTCCCATGGGTCCCCAGGGAAAACACGTACAGTCCAAAGCCACTCCCGCACAGGACCTAGCCCATCAGTTCTCTCCTGAGTCTTCTAGCTCTTCCCTTTCCAGCTCCTTCCTCAAGTCTGCGCCCTCCTCTTCCCCATCTTTTTTTTTTTTAATATATTTTTATTGATTTTTTACAGAGAGGAAGGGAGAGAGATAGAGAGTTAGAAACATCAATGAGAGAGAAACACCGATCAGCTGCCTCCTGCACATCTCCCACTGGGGATGTGCCCACAACCCAGGTACATGCCCTTGACCGGAATCGAACCTGGGACCCTTCAGTCCGCAGGCCGACACTCTATCTGCTGAGCCAAACCGGTTTCGGCCCTCTTCCCCATCTTAAAAATCACCCAACTTGCAAAAGAGTGGCCTCCTCTTTCACCCACTGCAGGCTGGCAGGCCCTCCCACTCCCTAGATTGGCACCTGCCAGGTCAGGCCTCCTCCTGTGCTGTGTCCTCTGGTGCTCTCTTCTTCATGCTGTGCCCATCGTCTTTCTTGAAACTGCCCTCCCTTGGTTCCCATGGCCCCAGAACCCTGAGATCTATCTTCTCAGGGTCCTTTTCCGTCTCCCATTACTCCTCCTACTCCCTCAATCCTAGCTCTCCTGGTAGCTCTGCCCTTGACCCTCTTTGAAATCTTCTCACGCCTGCCCTGGCCGGTGTTGCTCAGTAATCAGAGCATCGACCTCACACACCAAAGGGTCCCAGGTTCAATTCCCCATCAAGGGCACATACCTGGGTTATGGGTTCAATTCCTGGCCCTGGTTGGGGTGCGAGCAGGAGGCAACCAATTGTGTCTTTCATATCGATGTTTCTCTCTCCCTCCCTCCTTTACACTCTTTCTAAAGTCAATGGGAAAAATATATTCGGGTGAGGATTAACGAAAAAATAGAGAGAGAGAAGGAGAGAGAGATATCTTTTCACTCACCATGGCATGGCCACCACCCTCTTTTACAGTATCAGTAATACTTTTGTGCATTTGGCTCCAAAATCTGAATCTCCATCTCAGCTCCATAACCCCAGCTATGCCCACGATTGTCTTTCTGGCTCTAGATGTCCACGCACTGAAGGCCCATCACTTCCCCACGTCATTTCTCTTACTTTTTCCTTCTCATCACCTGGCTAACAGCCACTGGTCTCTTCACCGCCCCGACTCTGTTCACTCCATCACCAGAACACTTTAGTTCATTTATCCTTGCTCTCTGCATGGGTCTTCTGAGTCCTAAAGGTTTATGAACTCCTCAGGCTGGACCGTGGGGCCTACTGAATTCTGACCCCCATTTACTTTTCTGCTGCTACCGAGGCTTCTAGTCTGGCTCATCCGAGCTCCTACTGTACCACAGAGGGCTGGGCACTTGGCCTCCTCTCAGCCCTCCCATTCAGCGGCTTCCCCCAGAATTCTAGTCCCCCACTCCATCTCTAGCTGCCAGAGTCCCTGGTGTTCTGCAAGTTGGACCATTTCTAGGAGCTTGGATCTGTGTGTGTGTGTGTGTGTCCAGGCAGAGTTCCAAGGCCGACACAGTCCTCAGAGGAAGGAGAGGGTTTCTGTCTTTGGTAGCTTCTGCCCAAAACCATCTCTCCAGGAACCAGTGGTAAGGACCACGGGGCTTCACCGGAAAAGACTTCCCCATCCCTTCTCCTTACCAGATGACAGTTCCTCCTCGCTGGAGATGATCTGACCCGGTGGAGGCAGCCGGAGAGCAATACCGGCCCCCAGTTGAAGAGCCTAGCTGCAGCCGGACAGACGGACAGATGGTGCTTGAGTACCGAGGCCCAGCGATTCTCCGGCCACAGTCCAGCCGAGCCACTGCCACTTTCAATGGGACTTAGAACTTCGGAGTTGCATGCTGTGATTGGAGGAAGGACCTGGAAGGAGGGGGGGCGGGGCGGGGCGGGAGGGTGGTGATTGGCCAACCAGGGCCCCTTTTGTAGCCAGTCTGTTCTATGGGCAATGAGTGGAAATGCAGGATCCAAACCCCTTCTTTAAAAAAAAAAATACAGAAACAGGCAAAGGTTGGAGCGCCACAAAGGGCAGGATGACCCTCCCAGAGGCCCTTGGGCCTGATGGTGGAGCCCCTGCCTCCCAGCCTTTCCTGTCATCCCTGCTGGGCCACAGACACTGCCTGATCCCCTACCCCATCCCCAGCTCCCTCTGGGCACTTGAGCCCTTGAGTCCCACTGTCTTCTATGGCACAGCCCCTGCACAGAGCGCCAGGAGGGAGAGCCCTGGGCAGTCACCGGGCCCCCTCTGAGGGGTGATGAGCCACTAAAGAGAGGCATCTGCTGACTACCTTCCTGGGCCCCTCAGGCTGCCTCCTTAGGGCTGGCACGACCCCCAGCAGGGATGGGGAGGTGGCCGCCCCGGAGCTGGAGGACCTGGTTAGGCAGGAGGAGTGTGGGGCAAGGGGACGAGGCTTTCAGTCCGGGTGGGGGCGCCTGGGGCAGAAGGGCTTGCTGGGTGCCCCTGTCGAGAGCCCAAGATCCAGGTGAATGATCCCAGGAGGAAACAGAACTCCGCTTCTGCGAACCTTTACCCGGCGTCAACCACTGCCAACGGGAGGGATGAGAGCGCGCCGACCTCTCCTCGGGGGAGACGGGGATCCTGGGCAGCCAAGGTATTATTCTCTCCCCACCCCACCCCGCCCCGGACTGTGGAAGCAGCCCATTCTCTCGGGGGTCGGGCATTGCTCACCTCATTTTTAGTGTGCAAGGTGACCTCAAGTCACCCGAGAAGGCGAGGGCGTGGCGGGCGATCAGGACCGCAGGCGGAGGCGACCCCCCCCCGCACCTCTTTCCTTCCGCGTCCCGAGGTGCGGGAGGGGCCGGGCGCGCCGCCGCGGCTGCACGTGACCACGTTTGGAAGTTGGGGGGCAAGCCCTCCCGGGAGGGGCGGCCCACCCTCCGCCGGCCAGACGAGGGCGCCCAGGCCCCGCAGCCCGCGCTCCAGCCGGACCCAACCCCGAGGGGCTGAGGAGGACCCCTGGGCTGTGGTTCTGGCCACGCTCTGAGCTAGAGCCCTGCGCACCGCGGGGGAGCGCCGGCCCCGCGTCTGTGTGTTGCTTTATTAGTGTTTTCCTTTTTCTTTTTTTCCTACGTGTGGGTTTTCTCTTGGGGCTGTTTCTTAGAATTCCTGTAATAAAGACTCGGTGTTCTCTTGGTGCTCTGATGTGGCCGGCCCCGTGGGCTGCACCCTCTCTTCCGTCCCGCAGGGTTTAGCCCCGGGAGCGCACCGGTGCGCCACCTGCCTGGGGCCCATTAAGCCGCAGCATCTGTAAGAACTGAAGGCTCAGACCCCGGCACGGCTCTCACGAGGTGACACTTGCCGCCCGCTGGCTTTGCTCTGCGAGGCGGCCTCCCCGCCCTCCCCAACCCGGGAAAGCAACCCGCTGGCTGACGGGCGAAGGAGACCGACAGGACAGCCAGCCCCCAGCCACAGCGCCGGCTTGTCACCTCCTTAGATAAACAGAACGCTGGAGAAAAGGCCGGATTGGAGGCTGCAGGGATGTTCAGTCTCAGACTTCAAAGGGCCCGCAGACATCTTCCAGGTCAAATACCTCGTTTCCCCCGCTCCCAGCTCAGCTGGACCGGCTCCCACGCCAGGGAGCTCACCGCCAGAGAGGAGGCGGGTGCCTTTCCAGACGGGGCAGTTCTCAGCGTTAAAAAGTTCTTCCCGTGTGGAGCCCAGAGGCCTCCCGTGGCTTCCACCTGCACATCTTGTTTCTGGGCCCCGTCACCCAGGCCAAGGCCACCACTCCGCCCCCCCCCCCCCATGCCATGTTTGAGCTGAGTGACCCCACCCTCTCCTTCGGGACAAACCACGCAGGCTCCTCCCCTCCCTACCAAGAGGTTCTCCCCCGCCCTCCTAGACGGAGGTGGGCTTGTAGATTGGTGGACCCGGGGCAGCTGGTGACCCACCAAACCTGCTGTTTGGGCCTGGACAAACCAAGATTAGCCTCTAACCTCAGCTCTGTACATTCGTTGCTGATAGCCCGGGACCAGTGTAATCCCTGCAACAAAGCCGCAGCACTAGGACCGTAGTAGAAGTGACAGTTCTCAGTCCTGCCGAACCAGCAACTCTGGGCGTGCAGCCCAGCAACCGGTGGTGCGATGTACCCAAAGTTTGGGAGCCATGGTGCCAGGCCAGGACATAGTACTGGCTTCACAATAGAATTGCCTGAGTAATTAAAAAAAAAAATTCCTGATGCTCAGTACCCCAGACCAGTGAAATCAACAACCATAGGTTAGTTACTTTGAAAACTCCTCCAGTAATTCAAGTTGGCCATCAAATTGGAGGACCGGCGCACTAAGCAGTCCTTTAGGTGTCTCGTGTTAGCCCAATTAACCTAGCCCCGTAATGACAGTTCAGAAAGGTTAAATAACTTGCCCAGCATCCCAGAGCTAGCGAGGTGGGAAGCAGATTCCTAAGCCTGGCTCCATCCCCTACACCTCTGCCGTTCCAAGTGTGCCCTGTGGGCCAGCAGCACTGACGTCACTGGGAGCTGTTAGACATGCATGTAGTCCGGCCCCACTCCAGGGCTCCTGAACCTGAACCTGGGGGTGGATCCTCATAAGCCCTCCCCAGGCTCTGCTACATGCTCACGTGGTAGGACCATAGTTCTACAGCCTCGCCACTCAAAGCTTGGTCTGTGGACCGGCAGGGTCAGTATCATCGGGAGCTTGTTAGAAACACAGAATTGCAGAGTCTACCCCGACCCTACTGAACCAGCATGTGCATTTCAACAAAAATTCACCAGGTGACTTGCACGTGCATCAAGACTTGAGAAACACTATTCTAGAACACTGGTCCTCTGACGCGTGGGGCCTATTCCCAGAGACTCTGGTTTAATTGCTTTGTGATTTAGCCCGGGAATCAGATTGGAAGAGCTCCTCAGGTGATATGAATATGCGGCAAAGTTTGAGAACTACTCACCATTTGCCTGTTAGCGTAGATGAGAGTGAGAGTGATTGGAACCACAGAGGAGGGCGTGGGGAGAGAAGGCAAAGAAAGCGCACTGAATCCAACAGGAGTGCAGGAGAGGAAGCCTCTGTCCATGACGGGCAGTGCGTAAAGGTCCCAGGAAGGAGTTGGGCTGGGCCAGATGACCACCCAGCCATCTGCCCTCACACACCATGCTCACCTGCAGATCCCGGGCTCGTGGTAAGCACCAGGTGATACTCACCGATTTATCTCCTGCAAAAATGCTGAGCCAGGCTATCTGGAGTCTGGTCCAGCCGGTGTCCCTCCCCTTTTGTATGCTTTGCTGTCCCTAGGGTTCAGCCCCAACTTGAGGGGAGGTCATGAAATCTGGAGAACACTGTGCCCAGAAAACCTGGCCTGGTGGTTATTACCAGGTTGGGGTCTCAATCCTCCCTCTGTTCTTTGAGGCACCTGGTAGGGGGTTGAGGTTGGAGGAAAGACAGGAGAAGAACTTGGTTGGTAAAAGGCAGGCAAAGTGTGGGATGATAAAGATGAGAGCCGATTACGAGTGCTTACTGTATGCTAGTCACTTTTCTGGTGCTTTAAATGTTATTTTGCCTAATCCCCATCGATTATATAAAAATCAATGGTATTACTCCCATTTCACAGATCAGGAAACTGAGTCACAGAAGTGTTAACATCATCCTTAGTAAGTGGTAGTACCTGGATTTGAGCCCTGGCAGCTGAACTCTAGAACTGGTGCCTAAACACTAAACTATATATTGGGGTGGGGGAACAGGTGGTAAGATCTAGAATGCCTGCATAGGTGCAATTTGTGGAGCACAGAAAGGTCCCCCTGTTTAAACATATCTCCATAGTGATACATGACCCTAGTGTGGCCAGAACTCACCTATTAATCATTCTTTATCTGGTTTAGAAAACAATCTCTTATCATTTCCATTAAATGGAAAATATGCTACTGAAAGAGAAGCACATGAACTCCTTTTGCCCTTTTATCACAGCATAGATTAATTTGTTGGATTAGCTGGCTGGGGCAGCTGGAGGAAAATTTGGAAATTTCTGATGAGTGAGGCAGGAGAGGGGGGTAGAGGGGACTGTGTAAATCTACTGCCACCTGGTGGTTATCTCTCACAAGTGTCACTCGCTGGCCACTGAGAGGCCAAACATCATTTTTTTCAGAAGGAAGATGTGAGTACCTCTTTGGCCTGAGCCAAACAAAGGGAATTTACTCTGTCCACATGTCTTATATTTTGTAAAATTTGCAAAACAAAGATTTTTTTTTCTTAAAAGGGCCACTAAGATTATACAAGCTTCAGGCCCCGCATAACCAGCATTTCCCCTGCTTGTCATTTCTGGAGAGTAGATGGTCGCAATTCCTTATCAGGTCAAAAGAATTATTCCAGGGACTCTGAACTAAAGAGCTGGGAAGCTCAGTACAAACTCAGCACGAGTCTGCCTTGCTATAACCTTGCTTTTTAAAGTGTGGTCTGTGGATACGGTCACCATTGACATTAACCTTAGAAATGCCAGGGTTCAGCTTGGCCCGTGTGGCTCAGTTGGTTGAGCATGGTCTCATGCACCAGGAGGTCACAGGTTTGGGTTCGGGCTTGATCCCCTGTAGCGGGTGTGTAGGAGGCAGCTGGTAGAAGTTTCTCATCAATATATTTCTCTCTCTCTCTCTCCCTCTCTCTCTCCCTCTCCTCCCTTTCTCTCTCTGAAATCAATAAAAACATATACTTTTTAAAAAGGAGAAATGCAGAGTTTCAGTCCTTACTCCAGACCCGCTGAGTCAGAATCTGTGTTTCCCAAGAACCCCAGGAGGTTCAGGAGCACATTAAAGATTGAGTTGCTTTGCCTTTCACGAGAAAAGAAGGGCCCACACCACACCAGCCCAGAACTGCCTGCCTTCAAGGGTCCCCACCCGCTGGGAAAACTCCAGCAGAGTGATTTCAATAATAAAAGGCCAGAGTGTTGCTCCAGCTGGAGTACTCCAGCTCCTGTTTCCTTGGCTACAAAAGGAGGCACAAGCATACAGACCTCCCAGGGCAGGTGTAGGT